ACTGAAAAATTGTGCTCTACACTGGAATTTGGCACAACATTGTAAAATGATTATAAATCAATAAAAAATGTTAAAAAAATAAAAGCAAAAAAAAAAAGCAAAGAACAGGAACAGAGAATTCTCATATGGAACTTGCTTTCACAATTTCACTCAGCCATTTACTTTCCAAGTGAGTTCTCTCTTAAAAGTAACTTATTCAGAAACAGCTGACAGTAGCAGGTTAGCTCCCTTGACTCTTCATACTGGAAAAACTGGCTGGGCAAACCATTATACAACTGTCTATTATGATTATTTGATGACTCATTATCACTAAGACAATCTTATGCCACTTAAATCAACAGGTTTCCATTTGTTCACATGAGAACTATCTTTAAACACACACATACACACATACACACATACACTTCTGGTTTTCCCTTATTTCTGCAGCCAAAGAGTACTTTGTTAAAATTAACAATGAAACACAGAATAGTACAAATGAAGCATCATGAATGTGACAGAATCTGAACCTCTTTTAATTGCCCTTTCTGGCTCTCTTTTCCCAGACTTAAGGTGTGTTATACTCATTTCTGCCACACCCTGAAAACACACCCAGATACTTGCCAGAATTGAGAAATCCAAAAACAGTGCACTGAAAGTGTGTCAAGGCAAGGCGAGCTCCCTGAAGAATGATCTCAAAAAACAAAGGGCTCTGATCATCCACTAATGTGTCCCCAGCTCAGTATGTCTTCAGGAATTTTAAAACCTAAAACCACTCTACAAAGATAAGATAAAGCAATCTTCGACCCCAAGAATCCTGTTTTTAAAACTCTGTTGCAGAAAGAGAGAGGGAAAAAAGAAGAGGGATTTCAAAAGAGAGAGCTGGAACTGAATCTCTTCACCCAACTTCCTAAATAACCAGCTCCCGCCCCTGGCCGAGCTGTTGGCCACAGTTGCAATGACATCCTCACTGCATTGTTGTAGGATATTCTGGTTCAAAGTCATCCCCTTTTCAGACCGATTTAGATTGTCAGAATTGTTTGAATTCCTGTTATGGTTTTACTGGTAATACCTTGAATTTCTTTCTTCAGAAGGGAATGAAGTATTAGAAGACTATTAAAAACGTTTCTTTGTATCGTCCACCTAAATTAAAGTCAAGGTGTTGGGAGTTTGGATAATTGCCTCTAAAGAGACAACGCCTTCCCCAAATGTGAAAAGCTTCATTTACGTATATCACTCTAGTTGAAGATTTGTGGAGTGAAAGTAGAGGGTTAAATAATTAACTAACTTGTGATTTAAAACATGTTTATAGTGAAACAAGACTGGCTACATTTCAGAATAAACATTTGTACAAAAATTTAAGGTAAAACTGGGGGTTTTGCATGCACGTTCCTCTGCTTACAGTACTTGGGTGATGATGTGGGGAAGTGAAAGGAACCCTTCCGTGAATTTCCCTTTCTGATCAAGAATATTCCACAACGAAACAAAAGCCTGAAGGATAAGATGTGGTGTATCTATATTTATGGATTCCATGCTCTATGTGAATTTCATGCATTCAACTTGTTTTTTTCTGAAATACATTTTTCAAAATATCTTATAAACGACAATTAAGATACATATTCTATACAGTGTGTGGATAATTCTATTGTCTTAAAAAATTGTACTTCGGTTAGGACTAGTAATCTGTAATACTAAAAGCAATGCATTTTAGAAAGTCTAAAAATTAGCGCTTCGGAAAGAAGATAAAAGGGTTTTATTTACGATGCCCTCTCCATTAAGGCTGGACCCTCTCAAGTCAACCACACCCCTGGGATGATTTGGAAAATGACTTATACCTGTGATGCTTGTGAAGTCATGACTCAAGGAGTCACAGTCGAAGCACAGAGAAGTTTTCCCAAGCTAAAACTTTTTAATGGTGCTGAAACATGGAAGACTGATTTAATGAAAGTCAGACCTAATGAGAATAGCTTAGCGAGTCACGACTAAGGCTCAACATAAATGGGGCTCCTTTCTCTTAGCACAGGGCTTTTGAGACTTGTCCATATTTTGGCACATGTCACTTTACACTCTGATCCTCCACCTTTGTTGCTCCATACTTCATTATAAAATGCCCTCCAAAACACACAGGCGAGGCGGAATCCTCCCTGGAATATGGGGAATGGAAGAGGTTGACAGACCCGCGCCAACCCAATGGGAAGAGGGGAAGCCTGGAATCCTCAGCTGGTATCAGTGCCTACTGGACTGTGGCCTGCCTGCCACACCATATCACAACGCGGTGTATTTTGTATCTGTTATTAATGTTGTTATTTACCAGCTGTCTGACCTTGAGAAGGTTACTTCACATACCTGTGCTTCCATTTCTTCTCTGAACAATTAAGAATAATTCAGTCCATATCAGAGGGTCTAGGTGAGGTAGGTTAAATACTGTTTAGAAAGCATGACCATCATCTCTGGGTCCTTTTACTCTGTAAGTTTTAGGTGGGAGTCTGGTGGGGAAACGGGAAGCCAGGCCAACTGGGGCAGACCTCTAACTCATCCCCCTGATTTACACCCTCCTCCCTTCCCAGTCCGACTTGTCTCCTGCCAACACCAAGCTTGGCACTCCTTTGTCTTATCAAGCAGCGCAGCTGTTACTTCCCTGACAGCCAACTCGGGTTTATTCTGGTGGCAGCTTCAGTGCTGTATTGACGATGTCACTCATTTCTCATCTGCCAGAAATTTGACAAATTCTCTGGTTAGCTGATCTATCCCTCTTTGGTTATGGGTTTATTTCCTCTGGCACTTGTTTCCTATTCTACACTTTTTTCTATACTGGTCCGAAGTGATTGTTTAATTGAGTTCCTTCCATCTTGAATCAGAAGCTCGCTGTTAGATAGATAAAGATCTTCTAGGCTTCAGGGTTACTTAGCTTCATGATAGAATTTGCATGCACTTATTTAGTAGTTCTTCCAGTTAAAGGAATATTCTCTAATTTTTCAATGAAAGAAAAAAATTCCATCACAATACTAAGAAGATGTTAATTACCATGTCTAGTTATGAAAATCAATTTGAAAAAACACACCAAAAAATAGCATCACTTTACCCTTTGTCCTTTTCCCAAGAATATTTGAGTAATTTAACAAATGAGCAGATACACATACAAACACACTGAGTCGGAGAAGTCTGAAGGAAACAGGATCACTGCAATCATTTTACAGATGAGGTTATGAGACATGAGGAGGAGTCCACAGCACAAGCCATGAACTCCTGCGCTGCTAGCAAGAGCTAATGAAGGGATGAGACTCAAATATGCCCTTTCAGGTGTCCCTGGGAAAACAAAAGTCCATTCAGCATTCGTGTTTATTAATAGGACGGTCAACAGGAGTTTGTAGCGAAAATCAACCTAATTATGCAACACTGTAAACTGACTATACTTCAATTTAAAAAAAGAAAGCAAATGAAAAAAAATCAACCTAATTAAGTTATGACTGTTTTTCCATTGTTTTCATTCCCTTTAAAAGGAAAGCCTCTGCAACTTTAATGTCAGTCCTGCAGTATACGGTTTTGAAGCTAAAAGGAATTCCACTCCGTAGTTACCTCGTGTGACAACTGACAGTCCTTGACACGTTACCTCTTTGTTACAGTCAGCAGTAAACGGCTCTTGGCAGATCTGACTACTTAATAGTGTGAGCGTGAGGTAATTGTTCGGGAACTGCTTGTTTAAAGGGTGGGGAACTCTTCATCTAATTACAGAGCCAGAAACCACCTCAGCTTTATCACAGGAAATCGCGTGCAAGCATTGTTAGCTTCAGGTGGCTGGCTTCTTGGTCAAATTCTTCATACTCTCCAGAATTCCCTGGAATTCTCTTGCTCTGTTTATGGCCCACAGGTATGTATCCTAATGCATGTGAACTCACAAGGAAAGGAAGATCTCCTCACTGGTACAAGGCTGAAAGAAGCGGAACATTTTTAACCGAAATAATGATGCTTCATGTGTCTCTGTCACAAATATTTCAGTTGAAATTGCTTCTGTTAATACAGATCATTGGTTCCAGGAAGTTGCATTTTCCCTAAGTGTGTATCATTAGGGTCTAGCGTGTTATTTATTGAGGAGGGGAAGAAGAAAGTTGGACAGGAAATAATAATCCAAAGACAAGAATGCTTGCTTCAGAGAACCTATACCCAAGAGTCATTTTCATGTCTAATGGGGGACCCAGTTTTTTAATCTCTCAATATCCATGATTTTCTTGATTTAGCTGTGCTATTATTTTAGAAGACAGCATTTTAAACATCGTTAATGGTCACTTCAAATCCTCTGACACAGATTTTTTGAAAAATTTTGGTGTAAATAATCCTCCAATTTCTGTGGATTTATGATGGGAACCCCTCACCTCAAATGTTGAAAAGGATAGAAGGAAAATTCATGCCTAAGGACCAACTGGCTGGCAGAAGCACTAAGAAGAAATATCCTCATTCTTCCACCATGCTACTCTGAAACCCTTCTTCACATTTATATATACCAGAGTAGAATTAACCCATGAGCCATGGTGGGGAAAAAGCTACCAACCAGAAGATGGAAGATGGACAAGAGGAAAAGAAGTAAAGAAAATGCTTGCTGTCCCCTGACCTGAATGGAAGAAGATTCCATCTCAAGCGTAAGTTGTGCCAGGGAAGATGGGAGAAGGAGGAACCACCAGCTAAACTACACTGAAGTTCTCTGGCATCCAGAACTACCAGAAAGCTCTTAGTCTGTTTACCTCTGGTGGCAGCACTGGATAAACTGTTTGATATCTGTGTCCTGGGCATTGGTCATTGAGCAGGGAGTGTACTACCAGAATCCATTTAAGTTCATTCAAAAAATTGGGTTGTTGCTTTTTTTTAATGCTCACCTGAAATAAGCAAGACCCTTAAAACTAAGAAAAAGCATCTTTTCATTTTATCCAGGGTTCTTACTACCCCACTCGAAACATCTTTTAAAAATTCCCTTCCCCCAATTTTGGGGGGGCGGGGGGAAACAAAACCAAAAAACTGCAAACTAGAAACAAGATTAAAACACCTGGTTTATTGGGAAAAAATCATTATGAAAACTGCAACTGTTTATTTTCACAACTTACAAAATAATAATTTGATATATAAAATGAATTGGTTTTCATTAGGTAAGTACAAATAGTAAAAAAAAATAATAATCCATGCATATATCATGTTTGCCATTCAGAGAAATCCCATATCCCTGAATTCTCCTGTTGCATGTTTTACATCAGATATTTTAAATCTGTTTGTCAAGGAAAACCAGGTTTTCAGCTCTATTTCACTTTTTGCTTACAGTTGCAATCTATCAGAAGCTGTGTCTATATGATTAGAGTCCAGTCAAACCTAAGATGAAAAATTCCTAATCATATCCATCAGTCATGTTGAATTAGACCAGTCCATCTTGCAATCCAGCCTACTCTGGGCTAGAACATATAGACACCAAACAGTACTAATAAAGCATTTTACCGCACCCCAACCCTATAAACCCCCTTTAAAAGAGAAATTTTCATCTTAACATTTCACTACTTAAGTACACCTTACTACTGCAACAGGCTTTGGTCATGAAAGAATACTTTCCTAGATGCCATATCAAGTTACTGGGAAGCTGAGCCCCAAATCAGTTATTCACGATATTAATTAGAAATGCTCACAAATGATATGCATTTAGGAAACTATTGTGCATCTTTAAAGAGCTGAGGGCTTGAAAACAGTATTTATTTTTTGCATTTCTTTTAGGATATTTGCTCACTGACAATTTTTTACCAATATCGCCCTTCTCTCCTGAGCCCTTAATAGACCTAGTCCATTCCATCTGGGAAAAACAGAAATCTGATCAGATTACTTAAATCTTTGAAGCCTTCTCATTTTTACCTTATAAATTATGTGGTAAGTTTCATACTCATGTTCTTTTACAAATGCCATATAAATGATATGTATAGTTACAAGGAAATATTGGCGTATTATAGGTAATTCGTTAAAAGAAGTCAGTCTTATTTAACTCTACAAAACACATATAAAAGATGAATATGAAACTATCACACCACTTAAAAAATATTTTTCTCCCAAATCACTTTAGCATTTTGAGTAGAGTTTAATGATATGACACCGCCCCCCAAAATAGGTTCAAAGTCTTCCGGGGAAAACAGTTTCTTTCTCTGGAATCCATCTCGGCAGCAGCGATTTTCTCCTGCTCATTCCCCACCTTAGGCAGATGTGTAGAAGTACCTGGGCTTGGCGTTGCCCAGGAGGTCATCTTCATAGTTGGGGAGGCAACAGAAGAAGAAGGCACAGCCGATCATGATAATCGTGGCCGCCCACCCGAAGCCGTAGGCCCAGTTATAGATGTAAGTGACACCAATGTTGGCGTGCAGGTTGAAGGTCTGGGTGTACTTCACAGGGTAGATTACCAGGGAGATGATCTGGAACACAGCTAAAAGGAAGGGGGAAAATCCCAATGTAAGAATGCATGAAGGAATGAATGCGTGCAAATGATAGATTAACTTCCTCTTCCACAACATTTCTGCCTTAAAATAAGTGTTAAACCCACCTCAATAATGCTGATAAAAGGGGCTGAGGGGAATCTAGTTAATCATGATCCAAAAGAGATGACTGAATTTTGCATATCAGAGATGCCTGGCACTGAGCAGAATACTGACAGAAAATTAGAAAGTCACTCCATATTAGGTGTGTGGTATTTATACTAAAGCAAAAAGTGCAAAATTTGGGGTACAACAGCAAGCAGGATGGTAAAGAAGAGCCTACTTTTTCATTTTTGCATCTCCTATGCCAAACACATAAGTTAATATTTTCAGTGTTAGCAAAAATAATATATATGCCTACACATGTGCGTGCACACAGGTCTACGAGTCCAGGAGAATGAAAGGGATTCAGAACTTAAGACACATCTCTCCTCGCTTACTTCTGCCTTTGGTGACACATTTTCCGAGAACAGATCAGGAACTGTATTGTCAGGATCTTCTTTTGTGGACTGGATGTTACTATGCTGATGTCCACTGCGGAAAGGAATAAAGAATTGCTGACAGTCTTACCAGCCAGGGCCAGCAGGCCTCCGATCACTCTCAGGAAGACAAGCATTTGGGGTCCGCAGAGGGCAAAGAAGGAGAGGATGAAACAGATCACCAGGATGATAAATCCGCAGAGGAGCATGGCGGCAGCTGCCCTCCCCCACGCTACAAAAAAAAAAAAAAAAGAAAAGAAACAGCAATTAGTAAGACAGCCGTGCCAAATTTAAAAGTTCCTTATCAAAGCATCAATAGGTTTTTTTTGTTTGTTTGTTTCTACTAATTATACTTGGGTGGAATGACAGTTTCTCTTTTGACAATACTTAAGCATCTCCATATTTTAAGGGAAGAATGGACAATTCATAGGTCAGACATTAACATACTGGCATGCAGTAATGCCTTCTCCCCTGGGTTTTGGGACAAATGTTTGTGTCTCTGAAATGAGAGTTAAATTTCTTTCGTTAAACTATATCTCATTTGGTAAACTGGCCATATAAACAGGTATACTGAGAAGATTCACTCGAGTCCTAACACCACACGCCCACGATAAGTATTTTTGGTCTTGAACAATCCAAAATACAATCTCTTCCGGAACTATTTCAAATACCTTTAAAAGGATCTTTGTTCTGTGTTAAAGTTTGGTTCCAGGCAAACATAATCACTGGAAACATAGTACTTATGACTAAGCAGAGATATGAAATAAAACAATTTAATTGTAAAGTAGCTGTGATGTATATAACAAGTTTCCATGCAAACAACCTTTCTAAAATTTTGCCTAAATTTTAACTTCCGAACTATTCAGAATTTACTATGAGTGATATGGACCCCAAAACAAGCAGGATGAGGTGGAAACTGAGCTGCAGGTTTGAAGAGCTACGTGCGCAGCGCCAGCCCTGCGTCCTTCTGCTCTGACCTGTGGCAAGAGAAGCGCCGTGACACCCAAGCTAAGGATTCCAGCCAGTTGTGCTTACTGTTCAACCTACACTGATCTTTAAAATCTACCCACACAACCTTCCCTCTCGAGGCGGGAACTCACATTTATGAAGTAATCACGCTGCCAGGCCCGGGGCTACGAACCGGACATATCTTAGCTCACTGAATCCTCATAATAACTTTTTAAGGTTCACACTATGTTAGCATTTATTTCTATTTGAGAAGTGAGGTGACACTAAGGCGTTGAGAGTTCAAATAACCTGCCCACAGCCACAGAGCTGGCAAGCTGGTTGACTTCCAGCCTGTCTGAATCCAGAACATGACTCTTTTATTTTTTTTTTTAAGATATAATATATACCATAAAATTCATCGGTTTAAAGTGTACACAATTCAGGAGGTTTTACTATATTCACAGTGTTGTGCAACCGTCACTGCTTACAGTTCCAACATTTTCATCACTCCATAAGGAAACCCCACGTCCGCTAGCAGTCACCCCCTCCTTCCTTCAGCTTCCCACATCCACTAATCTACTTTGTCTCGAGAAATTTGCCTAATTCTGGACATTTCATATAAAGGGAACTTTATACTAGGTGGCTTTTGTGACTGTCATGCTTTCACTTAGCATAACGTGTTCCGGGTTCACCCCGTGGTAGCAGCATGTCTCTGTATTGCAGTCCTCTTTATAACCAGTAATTATTCTATTGGATGGCTAGCCCACGTTATGTTTATCCATTCATTCATCAATGGCGGAACAGGCACCATTAACCTATTTCTCTTTACTGCATTTGAAAAGGAGAGTCGTGTGCTCCTCTGCCCCGGTTCTACTCCTTCCTACTCTAACACAGCTCTGCTGACAAATGGAACCTCACTAAATTCTCGCTCATCAGACTGGTCAACGTCAAGCAAAGATAATCACTAGCAGAAAGGACAAGGGCTTTGGGGCCAAGTGGACCTCATTATCCTCTGCCTCTGCCACCTGTTAGCCATTGTCAGTCTGCACGTCTATCAACCAAGGCTAAGATGCCTTATTTTAAGATGATTGTGAGGATGAGAGTTCTTGTGCGAAAAGTCATGGAGCTCTTAATTCACCCTCACTGTTCAACAATTTCCTCATGGACTCCTACAGCTTTCTCCAGTACCTTAAGTTTTCATTTCATTCGACGTTCACAAGGTTTTATGCTGTCACGTGAAGACTGGTCCTCAGTTCTCCACTGCATGTTTATATCTTCAATTCTTAGAGACAGACCTGCGCTAAGGTCCCCTGTTCCCTTCTCCAGCCCCACGCTCCCTCCAAATCTTCCTCCGGAGTCATGAATGACTGGGGAATAGTAGGTAATTAAGGAGAAGACATAGGCTCAAAATTTTTTTTACATGCTCAAATACCACGTTTTCACACAAATTATCCCTCAGTGGCACTGGTCAGGATGTGCTTTCTTCAACTTGCACTGACTTGTGTGTGAGATGGTACACAAGTGGGTCTAGTTTTATATTTATAATTTTTATTACTTTCCTCCAAGTCTTGCTCTTCCTATGAGATCAATAAGAGATTTTAGGACCAAGGTAAAATAGAACATTTTATTTTAAAATAGATATGGATGGGGGGAGGGTATAGCTCAGTGGTAGAGTGTGTGCTTAACATGTACGAGGTCCTGGGTTCAATCCCCAATACCTCCATTAAAATTAATTAATTAATTAAAACCTAATTACCCCCCCAACAAAAAAAAGATTTATAAAAAAAATAAAATAGATATAGGTAAAGCCAAAATGTGAAATTAAGTCTCTTTTCTCACATTTGTCTCCTCCCTTCAAGTAAAGTAACTTTCCAGGGAAGAGAGACCATGCTTTGGAAAGAACATTAATTAATCAGACCATCTCAAAGTCTAGTCCATAGACCATTGACTCAATAATCATCAGTGTGCTTATAAAAATACAGATTCCTGTGCCTCCCTCCAGACATATGGACTCAGAGCTGGAAAGGTAATGCCCAAGAATCTGCATTTTACTAGTATTTCTTACATTTATAAAGTTAGAAAACAATTAAGATAGATGATAATCTCCTTATAAAAATAGATGCTGCACTGCCGAAAAGGGGCATGTAACTTTCAGTATGTGACCCGCTGTCACTTACATACAGATTTTTATGGCAAACGCCAATCATTAAATTCAAGTAAATATAATAATTCAATTCAAATAAGCAGACACTGATTTTTCTTTTTAAACTGAGTTCACAGGTTTGAAACTGCACAAAGAAAAGGCAACACAGCTGTATGAGCATGCAGAGGAATGCAAAGTTAATGAAGATAAATTGTACAGCAGAATGTGTTTTCAATAAAAACAGGAAAAACATCCAACAGGGAACATATTTAATAATCAAACGTTGACAATTGCAGATTAAGGTTTTAAAGGGACAGTTAAATAAACTGTGTATGATATTGCTATAAAGAGTCATATCAATCATTTTGCCTGTTTATTTAAAGAAGATCAATGCAAAATTAGATTACTGCCATTATCTCTTCCTCTGAGGTTACAGCTGAGGTGTAATTTTCACTTAGTTTCAGGTACTTGAAAGAAATTAAATAAAATAGTAAGCCAATTCATCTAACCTAAAACCAACAAGTGAATATAAACAGATCATTTTAAGAACTTTACCTATGCTATGTTAAATCGGCTCGATTAACGTCTTGCTTATTTATAACGCTGAGTCTAAAAGAAATCAAAATGGAAAATTAAGCAACGTTTTGTCTGGAGAAAGGCTGTTTTGGAAGTGAAGCATGTAAAACCTGCTCCTTGTAGCGTGGAAACACCCACGTTGAATCATTTAACAATCATTTAAGATAGAAATCCTGACATGGCTCTGAAGGTCCTGACTGATGGATAACAAGTAAGGCAACTTGACGTTTCATGTCAGCAACTCAGTTTCTGGTGGACAGTGTAATGTTTCAGGCATTCATATACATACATGTATTCCTTTTCATATTCTTTTCCGTTATAGGTTACTGCAAGATATTGAATATAGTTCCTTGTGCTATGCAGTACAAACTTGTTTATCTATTTTATATGTAGTAGTTAGTATCTGCAAATGTTGAACTCCCAATTTATCCCTTCCAACCCCCTTTCCCCTCAGTAACTGTAAGTTTGTTTACTATGTCTGTGAGTCTGTTTCTGTTTTGTACATAAGTTCATTTGTGTCTTTTTTTTTATCTTCCACATATGAGTGATATCATATGTTATTTTTCTTTCTCTTTCTAGCTTACTTCACTTAGAATGATGATCTCCAGGTCCATTCATGTTGCTGCCAATGGCATTACTCTTTTTTATGGCTGAATAGTATTCTATCATATAAACATACCAAAACTTCCTTATCCAGTCATCTGTTGATGGACATTTAGGTTGTTTCCATGGAAGAATATCAACTTTGAACACTTATCCTAGATCTACTTCTTTCATGATTCCACAGATGGTCCTCAGTTTCTTGAAGACAGACTGTCCACCTTCATCTATTCCAAAGACAAGTCTGCCCTTCATTAAAATTTTTACACTTAATGTTATTGCCTTTCCTAATCTGCATTTTACTGATATTTCTTACATGCAAACTAAAATTTGAGAATAACTAAGATAGATGATTAATCTTATAAAAACAGATGTAGCATTGCCAAAAAGGAGCATTGAACTTTCCGTATGTGATCCACTGTCAATTAGTCTCATTTCTATGGATCTTTTTATGGCTACTGCCAATCATTAAATTCAATTAAGTGCAATCATTAAATTCAAATAAGCAGAATTTGTGTGTGTGTGTGCGCGCGCGCGCGTGTGTGTGTGTGTATGTGCACGTGAGCATGGGCGCGCAGGAGAGTCAGGGAAGATTCTGTCAATTATCTTCCTTTGAATTGAAACAATAGAAGCATTCTGTAGTCCAGGTAAACAGTTTCCATGTAGGAATGTTTTTTGTTTATTTTGTTTCCTTAAGAGAAGAAATTTGATGTTTTTAATCTATAATTTTTTCTGTCCTAAGTTTATTTTCTAAGTATTGCTCGAATAAGTTCATGTTTCAAAGAAATCAGCAACATTATAAACCTACTTATAAAGAAGATTCATTCAAGATCCATTTAGATGAAGAATGGCTTATCAAATTTTGCTACCTCTTGCAAAGACTCAGCATTAAATCAACAACATGGAAATCATCACCTATTCATCTATTAACAATACCAAAAGCCCCACCTACTGAATCGGAGATTTTGTCAGATTTCTTTCTATTGTTTCTATAGGGTTTTTTATGTCATACACAAGCAGAACTGAAAACTGGATGAGCCCACAATCGAAAAAATAAAAAAGACACCGCCTACAAATAAACACAAGCAGGGGTGGATGACACATTCAAAGAGGTTGCTGCATATTCAATGAGGAAGAAATCTGCATTATTAAGGCCAGGGCTTCTGTAACTTAGAAGTGCATTGTTAAAATATAGATTCCAGTTCAGAAGGTGGGGCCTGACACTGAGTGTCCAATAACCTCCCAAGTAACGCTGGTGCTGCGGGTCTGCGACACTTTGAGTAGCAAAAACCTAGATGACCACTCATCACAAGCCTCCAAAAAAAAATGAATGTAGAAAGAAGCGATTCTGCAGAAGTTTTGGAAGGTGGGAAAGGAATGGTTTGAAGAAGGAATGATGGCGGGGTCACAGGGGAGAGATTCCACAGTAGGTGTGAGATTCTTTGCATGCTCCACATTTTCCTCTGACACTGAGCCAGATGAGAACTCCTTCCCACTGGTTCTTATGGAACTATGATACTTGACCCCTTTATGGTCTTATGTGAATTCAGACAAGATACTCTCAAATGGGATCTACCCTCAAATGTTTGAAAGTCTGTCCTCTGGAAGAAGGGCTGGAAAGTAGAATTTACAGAGAAGCACATTTCAGCTCTGCTGGTGTGAGAGAGCTACACACAAATAGCACTGTGGAGAGAAGGGAGTTAAACTGCTGAACAAAGAGAAGGAGTTCAGATCAGTCGGGGGTGATGCTGATGGGGGCTCTGGAGAAAGCTTGAGTAGCTGCACCCTAATCCCCCCTAATTCTAGCAGCCCGGGAGTCTGCCTGTTACAGGGAGCAGACAAGTTCGGTCACTAAAAAGGAATTGAGGCTTTTGAGTGGTTGCTGCTAAGTGCAGCAAATGTGGAGTAAACGGGGCAAGATTACCAGTGCTCAGCCTTTCAGCTTTTATAAATCAATATACATTTTTTTTAGTTATAAAAAAATCAATTGAGTGGCCAACTTTTTGTTTTGCTATATAAGAATGTGAATACATGCCCACAAAGATGAATCTATCTTCTAATGCCTAATTTCATAAAATAGGCACATTTGAATACTTCACCCTGCCCCCCTAAAAAGCCACGAAAACAATCTCAAAATGAAATCCTAGAAGGCTGAATTTAGCCTAATGTGAACCTACTAACTTCGTATTTATTTTTCGCATTTGCTGTATATTTTTATGCACCACAGGGCTAGATCTAAAAATATTTCAGATAATAATCTGATTCGTTGACTTATCCAAGGCTGATTTCCTGTGAAAGACAGCCCATGCATACTGTGGTATCTTTGGTAAAAATGAGGCTCTGCACTTCTGGAGTTCAGATCCAAGGCAAAGGCTCTCTCTCCAGCGCTGCCACACTGGTTGCCCACTGTCATTCCTGGAGCATAAATTCATCTCAATTATCCCAGTAACTTATCCATAACCTTATCTTCATTAGTCTCCATCCTGATGAGTCAGAGCTTACTTTAGGACTTGAAATCTCTATCGCTGACGCTGAAAATATCCACCTGATATACTCTCTCTCAAAACTGGAAAAGAAGCTGACAGCAGTGCAAAAATCATATGTGTGAACATGGATTCAAATTTAATTCTGCATTTCACTTATGCATGACATTTGAATGATCACTTCAATGTTTAAATCTAGATTTTCTTTTCCTGTTTTGAGGAACAGAAGCCATGATTTTTTAAGAATTCAAACAGGTATTTGTATTTAGTTGTCACTATTTTATAAAAGAAAGTATTCAGTGTATAATGTGGTTCATTGATGAGGAAAAATGAGGTGATATGGTAATCTGAAATTCTTTTAAAAATTGTTAATGACAGTGACAAATATAACATTCTGCTTTTTACATAGTTCTAAGGAACTATTTATTGAATATATTGCTGATACTCACCAGGATTAACCCACTTACATCTTTACTACCAAAATGAACATATTATAAATATCAGCTAGTAAAAGACAGAGTGAAGCACATTGTAATGAAAAGGGATACTTTCTTAGTAGTTACAGTGGTAAATCACAAGATTTATTTTCTAGTACATAGCAAGAAGTTTTTGAACAGTGGAAGTCCACACTTAATTCTCTATATTGAGATATTTTAATTATTAATTAGAGCCATCAACCTCACTCCTTGTTGTGTTTGTACATACGTGGGAGGATGGGTAAACTGCGTGCTACATTTTAGATCAAGTGTGACCTCATGTGAATATGTATGGTTTTCAGCAAGGCTGACTGAAGCTATCTGAAAATCTCAAGTGTTAGAGACGCCTAGAAAAGGCCCTACGGCATGGGACTACACAAGTCCTACACCTGTGAGACAAAACCAGCCAACAGTCCAAGGCAGTGGGGGGAGCGGAAGTATAATAACTACCCCAACTCATCTTTTACTTAATAGCCAGAGATGGGCCTCTCCTGCTGAATTCATAACTATTTTCTTTTTCTCATGGTCACCTAATGACAGTGGATGCTAGATTCATGATTTGATTCCAGAGCTTGAGCAAAAGCCACGTCTAACAGATTCTTGGCACTTAATTATCTTTGCAAAGGTCGCAGGAATAATTAAATCGGAATGCAAAGGCCACCACCCATTTACGAAGATCTTTCAGGCTCCATCACAAAGGTAGTACTAGATTCCTCAAGACTCACTTCGAAAACTGACCTTTTACGAAGACCAATATCTCTATCAAATGGAAACATAAACTATACACTGAATCCACGGTTTCTTTACAATTTAAAAGAAGTGAGTGCTTTAGACTCCTGTCTAATTAAAGTATTAAACTGAGAAACAAAACCTACTCACTCCTCTACACAAAGTACTGGATTTGGCCTGAGGTTGGAAGAGCCCCACCCTAGGAAGGTGAGTTCATCCTGCAAGTTAAAGAAAAGAAAAACTGCATTGTGTGTGTTTCGAAAGAGGGCTGTGGTCACAGCCAGAGCCTTGCAGGCCCGATCACGTCCCAGCAATAGTGCCGGCCCGGTCCCGCCCACACCCCTCTCCCCACCGCGGCCCCGGCCTGCTTAATCCACGTGCGGAGGGTTGCCCAGCGATTTTGGATCTGCCTTAGTCCTTGCAGTGAGATATGATTATCAAAATCTGTTTAAAAACACACCTATTAGATCTAGGCCTATTAGATCCCCTATGAGATGCTGAACTCAAATGCATGTTAACTAGAAGATAACAGACATTATTTCAAAGAACTTAATTCCTTTCAAAACTCTAGCCGACATGGGGTAACACAGGCGTGCTGCTTGCTTCCTATGGAAGGAAAAACACAGGCCTTAAGGAAAGTAGGGATTCCATATAGTCTCTACATTTTATTACCTGCTAATGAGGGCCATGCCTCTTTTGGAAGGAAAATTCCTTGTGGGAACTTTCCAGTAATTTCACAGTAGGTAAAACAAAGCACCAAGCCCCTGATACAGCGCCCCAGTGATAAACAAGAGTTTGGTTGGGAGCCACTTTGCGGGTGGGGGCAAGTCAAAGATCCTAGATGAAAATGAAAAATAAATAACAAATAGCGTAGCCTTCCCTCTTTGTTTAAAACTATTAAACTGGATTGGTAAGGCCCCATTCAGCAGTATTTGGCTTTAAGCTTATGATTATGCTCATATTTAAACCCTTCTCTCCCGGACCGCACACACACCGCGAATCACAATAGACCCCAGCTGTCCTTCCCGCTTATCTGTGAGCAGGGGGTGGCACCAGACCAGAGCAGCTCCTCTCCAGTACTGTGTATTAACAAGTGAGGAGGACTGAGGCGGCCTTCATGCTGGAAAAGTAAAACACTCCAACTGTAATATAGCACATTTATCAACTCTGCTACATTTCGCTGGTGTAGATGTGTCTGCTTTTTAGGTTTCAAATCAATTCAAAATAAAGTTTTCTAAACAGCAATGCCAGGCTTAGGCCAAAAAGACACTCCCTAACGAGAACTAGCCTGAAGCATTAAACACCGCAGTATCTACTGAAATCATCACTGCTAAAACTCTGACTGAAAAGGCTTTTTTAATGGAAGAACTGCTTTCCCTTGGCTCGAGTTAAACGAAGAATACACCAACACTGGGGAAGGTACGCTTTTTAAATACTTGTATTTTAATCATAAGAACCAGAGGAGGCGGCGGCGGAATGGGAAGAAATTTCAGTAGGTCTCCAACAAAATATACTTCGTTGATTATATTTGCTCATCAAACCCCTTTCAATAAGCTCAGATCATCTTTTACGCCTGACAGACCCTACAAAACATAGTTTGAACTAAGGGCCATTTTCTTCCAGCGTCGAGCCTGGTTTTGGCCGCTCAAAGCTTAATTTTTTCATTTTACTTTTTTATTTTTAATTGTACTGCTTTTATTTTGTTCGGGTCGGATTATGAACCTAAACGCTAGAGATTTTTGTTGAATCACCTTTTATCCCCGACCCTGTTTAATCCCTTCACGTGGGGCGGCTTCAGTAGGCCGCGCACTCCCAGGGCGCCAGGGCGCCAGCGCACACTCAGACGCCGTCCTGAGGGCTTCCCGGAGGCGGCGGCACTCACCATATTCCATGAGACTCTGGCAGCCTTCCTCGTAGGACCCGCTGCCGCCACCCTCCTCATTACATTTCCACCACAGCGAGGATGTCTCGATGTGGTTGCTCGACTGCAGCCATCCGCGGCCGGCCAGCGCAATGATGTCGAATGGGATGGCGCAGAGCAGGAGCAGGGGCAGGATCCACCTGCAGCGCTCGCAGGCCAGGCCGCAGCGCAGCATCTTGACGGTGGCGGCGCGGAGGAGAGCAGCGCGCGGGGCTCGGACGCCGGCGGAGAGTGGCCCTGGAGTGCGGGGAGCACGACAAAAGGGAAGAGGCCGCGGGGAGGCGGCTCCGGGAGGACGCGGCTCGGGGCTGGCCGCGGGGGCGCGGCGCGGGCCCCACCTAGATTCCGGTGACTCAGGGCGCGCCGCCCCGACCTGCCCGGCGGGGCCGGGCGCGCGCGGGGGGTGGGAGGCGGGACTGGGATCGGGTTACACCGGGTGTGAGTGGGCTTAACCCTGCCCGGAGCGACCTGGAGCCGCGGGGACCCGCAGCCTCGTTTCCCTCCTACTTGGTCGTCTCGCACCCAGTGCTTTACTTCTCAGTAAACATTTTAACCTGCGCACCACCAGCTGAATATTTGACCCCTGAGGTCTGATCATGGGTCTGATTTTCAACAATACCCTATTTAAGTTTTGAGCCATTTGAGATGGGTGTTCATATTGTACCTGGGTCATTGCTGCACTCCGTTTGGGTGCGTGTCCCGGACGCAGGAGCCAGTTCCTGATCCTTCCGGGCACTTCCTGCTGGGCTCCACCTCTGTACCTTGTACCATGGCTGCTTCAAACTCTTAACTGTTTACATCCCCGCCTTCCCCGCTGGATTGCCAGCTCTTTGACCAAGAGGTTATGTTTTATTTCTCTGTGTATCCCTGGTGCCTAGCACCGTGTCTGAGTCCTAAGGGGAGCGCGATAAACATACTCTGCGTGAACACACTGAATTTGACAAATGCTTATTTCGGTCTTGAAAGCGCTTCATCCGGCTTCTCCAGATAAATTCACTTCCTGTCTGTGACAGTTCACTCCCTTTAACAAATCTCTACCTATTTAGAATCCACTTCATCTACTATTTTTCATTTACTATTTTGAGGTTTCTCCTGAAAGGAGAGAAAGAGAGAGACAGAAAAAGAGAGAAAGAGAGAGACAGAAAAAGAGAGAACGAGAGACAGAGAGAGGAAGGATGGAAGGAAGAAAGGAAGGAAGGAAGGAAGGAAGGAAGGAAGGAAGGAAGGAAGGAAGGAAGGAGTCATATATCAGCATGCAACAAGCTCCTAAAATCCCACCGCCAGCGTCCTGGCCCTGCTTGTGTCACCGTCGTGACTCCTCAGGTGTGGCAGGGAGGGTGGAGTGCCAGCGGGAAGTGGCACTGAGGAGAAACAATTTCTCAGTGTCCGCACCACTACAGCCTTGGGCGAATCATGAAGAACATCCAATGAGGGTATCATATCTTACCTTGTACCTCCAAAGATTTGTTCTGAATCACATCCTTTTTTATTGAAGTATTATTGATTTACAGTATTTATATTAGTTTCAGGAGTATAACATAGTGATTCAATATTCTTACAGATTAAACTCCATTTAAAGTTATTATGAAATACTGGCTATAGTCCCTGTGCTGTGCAATATATCCTTGTAGCTTATTTATTTTATACATCAAAGTTTGTGCCTCTTAATTCCCTACCCTATCTTGCCCTCCTTCCCTCTTCCCACTGATAACCACTAGTTCTCTAGATCTGAGAGTCACTTTTTGTTATATTCATTCATTTTTTTTTAGATTCCACATAAATAAGTTATTATATACAGTATTTGTCTTTCTTGGACTTATTTTACTAAGCGTAATACTCCCCAAGTTCATCCATGTTGTTACAAATGGCAAAATTTCATTCTGCTTTAATATTCCAATATATATGTGTGTGTGTATATATGTGTGTATATATATGTATATGTATATATACACACACACACGTACCATATTTTCTTTATCCATTCATCTGTTGATGGACACTTACGTTGCATCCATACCTTGGCTATTATAAATAATGCTACTACGAACATTGAGGTGCATGTATCTTTTCAAATTAGTGTCTTCATTTTTTCCAGATATGTACCCAGGAGTGGAATTGCTGGATCATATGGTAGTTCTATTTTTAGTTTTTTTAAGGAAACCGCATACTGTTTTCCATAGTGGCTACACCAATTTACATTCCCACCAATAGTATAGGAGAGTTACCTTTTCTCCACATGCTTGCCAGCATTTGTTATTTGTGGTCTTTTCGGTGATAGCCATTCTGACATGTGTGAGGAAAAACCACACGATGGTTTTGATTTGCGTCTCTCTAATGTGAATCCCTCACTTTTTCCATTAATTTAACGTGAAAGAAGTGGAAAATACTTAGCAATGTTTAAAACTGTCTCCTGTATTTCAGTTTGGTATTCTCAACAGAAACAGAATACTATTTTGGGTTGTGCAGTTCCCTGGCAATTTCTGAGGACAAATAAAAGAAAATTCCTGAGAAAGTTACTGTCTGAAACCACATGAAATAATTCCTCCCTCCTTCATTTTACATAAACCAAGTTCACACATTTTCATTAAAGGCAAATCTTTTCACCTTCAAAGAGTAGCTCAGGGGGTATTCTGCCCAGAGTTAACAGCATACAGTGTAGATTATGTAAAGAAAATGCTCTCAGAGTTTTCAGAAGTAATGAAAATACTGTTGAATTCATTGTAGAATATATTTGTGAAGAAAAATCATATTCTTACAAATCAAAGTGCTAATCACAGGCAAAGTGGCTTTAGACAGATTGAGAGTTTCTTTGGTATCAGTATCTCTGAATAACTTCGGACTAGATATAACTTCTTTCCCTTGTTTCAGTAGATTTGAGGGAAAGAGCTCAATAATGCTGAAGTGGAAGGCAGGAAAGTAGCTCTTCAGAATTTCTGGAAGAGATCCAAAGTGATCCTGATTGGTTTCGAACAATAACATACCTCTCCCATGATTCACAGACGGTGGAACCAGAGAGCTCAGGTACAGATCCTTTCTCACACTAGCTGTGTGACATTGGGCCACTTGATGTCTTTGTGCCTCAGTTTTCTCGTCTATAAAATGAATAGCGCTCACCCCAGAGCGTTGGAATGAGTATTGCTGAGTTGTAAGAGAGCTAATATATGCAAAATACTCAGGATACTGCCTGCACGTAGTAAACTACAACGAAAGTGTTGATGATGGTGACGATGATGATATTCGCAGAGATTTTCCACTTTAATAAGACTGGAAATGGGACTTTTCATGTTTATAAGGAGCAAATTCTGTGTATGAATATTCACGGTAAATCATTATCTTAGACAACGCAATCATTCCTCCTAGCCGTATTCCTGAAACGGTAGATTACAATGGCTAGTAGACAGTTAAATTGTTCCCCCTACTGGATAAGGTAGGGATGGCAAAACGCTCAACAATGTAAATTGTACCCGAAAAAAACAAGTTATTTTTATAAATTTGGGGACTTTATGGTTATAAAAGGAATTAATATTACAAACAAAAATAAATAAATATAAAATTTTAAAATTAAAAATTTTAGTTGGCTTATCCCTACCCAGAAAAAGTAATGGTAATAATAAGAGTACCAGCTACCTTGCGTTTGTTGGGAGTTTGCTATATGCCCGTGTTTCACATGCCCCCGATGAGGTGTTTACTGCTATTATCTCTGTTTAGGTGAGACGACTGGGGCACAAAGGAGTTAATCAGCTTGCTCGAGACTGCACATTCCCCAAGTGGCAAAGCCACCCTCCACGCTAGGCCGTTTGACACCAGAGAGTGTGATGTTTACAGTAACCACTGTGAGAGTTTGGGAGATGTTCCTCCAGCAGTTTCCTTCTTTCTCTCCTCCCCTTGCCCTCACAAGCCTCCAGCCCACTGCCCGTTCTCTCCCAAGCTGTAGTGAAATGACCCCTGGGTAAGTTCCTGGGCTCTCACTAGTAAACCAGATGCACAGCAGTGCGACAGAAGAAGCGATAGTACAAGAAGCACTGAACAGAAAATCAGGGACTCTGAGTTCTAACTCTTGCCGACCCTCTGTTTCCCCTCTAATCCTTGTCCAATCTCTTCTCCTTGGCTTATGCGTACTTTTAATTATCTCTACTCTCCTTCCCCGTTTTCCTTCCTCAGCTATGTTCTCTCTCTTCTACCTAGTGATGTGATGGCCAAAGTTTAGCAACCAACTTTCTGAAGAAAAACAAATCCTTGATTTATAGCATTAGCCAATTTCTGGTATAGATTCTCCCCCATGGCAGATTTCCAGTTACTGATTTAATGTCAGTGAACAGAGTTAGGAAGAACAGACATAATCATCCATCTCAAGCTGGTAAAAGCACATCACCGCATCCACCCCCAATATCCTACTGAAACTGCTCTCACAAAGGCCACCAGTAAGCTGTTTGCCAAATTCAATGGATATCATTGGCCCCTGTTGCACTAGATACTTTGATATCTCCCTCCATGAAACTCTCTACTCTCTTGGCTTCTATGAAGTTGTTAAAGTCCAGTGCCCAAAGACCACCAGGAACACACCTATAGTCAAACAAAATTAGATTTATTAACTCACTGCCGCAAGGGAGACTGCACACTATAGGGGTGTCTCTGTGAGAGTGTGTTGGGAAACTTAGTAATAAGATTTAGGCTTCTATTGGGTGATATTGAAGGAGATTCAAGGAAGTGAGTTTTTGCTCTGAGTTACATTTTGTCAGGAAATGTTGCATGGTGTTTTGGTTTTCTCTATGTTCAAATCTGATTATGGAGTGGTCTTGTTTTTGTCCTGTTCTATCACAATTACAGAGTAACCTTGTCTGGTGCTAACAGTCTGTGAAATTACTCATGCTCAGCACTGCCTCACCATGTTCTAGCTTTTGGTTGTCAAGCCAACTACCAGCTGTCAGAGGTTTTTTGTTTTTTGTTTTATTTTTTTTCCCACCCGTTCCCCATTGAATCTCTTTATCCATTCCTTCCCTTTCTCTTTAATGTGCTAGTCTTCCTCTGCCCCCGCCTTCATTCAGGGTTGGATTCTCTGGGCTTCTTTCCTTATACTACTCTTCTGTTCATTCTACGTGTGTGTGTGTGTGTGTGTGTGTGTGTGTGTGTGTGTATTACATCATCATCTTCCATGATTTCAGCCCTTACCTATACAATTATGACTTGCAAACATATATCTTCAGTCCACACTTTTCCTAAGCTTCAGACTTTTATATCCCACTTCCAGCAAGATGGCACCACCTGGATTCTCCCTCAAACACTTTAATCTCAACCAGTACCCTGGTTGCCCTCTCATCCCTAAACAATTAGCTTCTTTCTGTAGCTTC